GTAAAAGAGCAGAAGGTGAAGAGAAAAGAAAGAGCATATAAGATATACATAAAATATATATTATTTATAAGATTGCCCTAATCATTTATTAAACATATGAAAGGAAGGAGATGATGGAAGGGAGAAATGAAATGGAAAGGAGAGTAGAGATTAGGGCACAAGTTTCCTTTAACTTAGGGGGCAGTGGCTGTTGAACGTCCTGGTGGAGGAGGAGGACAAGGGATGTAAACGGTCAGGGCCACTTCAATGAAGCAGCGATTGGGTATGTTTTGCATGAGCTGTCGTGCTGCGAGTGCTCCCTCCATCGTGACGGAGAAAGAAATAGCAATCACAAAAGCCAAAATGATCCATTTGTTATACTCACTCCCCATATCTATGTTTTCTTCAATCTCTGCATATTCCACACACTTTCACCTTCCCTTTTATACACATCAAATACTTCCTTAACACTGCACATGTTTACTATTTATTACTTATTAATATGCTTTTTTACGTGTTTGGCAATCCAACATTAATATCGAATGAGCCACCACGATACTATATGGTGAACTAGTTACTAGAGTTATAATGTTTCATAGTTACCCCAGGCTACCCTTGCCAAAAGTCAATGCAATTCTTCCTCACCTTATACAACGATCTTCTTCCTTTTGTTGAATCTTTTCGCATAATATTACAAATATCATATTAATTAAAAATATATCAAATTACATTGTAAAAATAAATATAGTTTTAAAATTATTTTATAAACTTAAATTAAATTTAAAATTCACTTTTTAAAGTGATTCATGTCATTTAAAAAAAAACAGATATGTAATCAAATTATATATGTGAAATTGAAGTGTTACCCTTTCCTCTTTCCCTTTCCTCTTTCTGAGACTTTCTGAAAGGGTGGAAAGGGATTAATGTCTCGCCCGTAGGGTTTCGGCTCATGCTGAGTTTAGTAATTATAAAAGCAGTTTGGAGTTTTACTCATAAGCCTTGAGGACTAGGAGAGATAAGTCTGAAGCTGCGGTGAAGGACCACTCGAATCATTATGTTTTGGTAAACACGAATGATGCGGTGAAGTATAGAAGTTGACATACGATTTTAAAGATGATTGATATCGGCAAGAGCTGCCTTTAATTGACAGGTGGTGTAGAACTAACAAGTTGATCATGATTCTGTTTTATGGGAATATATGGTTTGATATTGTATTTCTTGTTAAAGTCTTACTATATACTGATATTCTTTGTTTTGAGGGGATTATAGTAAAGATTTAACGACTGAAATAAAAATGTTGTATTGTCTTTTTAGGTTTATTATGTTAGCTCACTTTTACTTTGTTCGTGTTTGTGTGATGATTTTATAACTCGTGTTATTATAAGAAGCAAATGACGTTACAGATAATCCAACAGATGCGTAAGGCAGCGAGGTTATTGAGAGAATGGAAAATTTATTTCTTTTGGGTTAAATGACGTTTAAAGGATTTGGACTTTTATTTGAGTTAAAGGTAGCAAAATGATTTAAATTGATTGTTTTTATTTTTATGCAATAAATATGTTTGTATGGAACATCCTGAGCTGGGATACAATTCTTCCTCTTAATCATTCTTAAGAGAATGGTATAAATGAGCTCTTCCAAAAAAAAATTCACCAACATGTTCTTGAAATGATCATTCATTCGTCCACATAATTTATTCCTCTTGACGTTGTAGGCTTAAGTAGTATTTCTCCATGCCAAGTCCAAACTATATAACTCCTCACTATACCATAGATAAATAGATGATCATGTATGTCACCCAAGTTTTGACATATTTGATTAAGACAGCGAACACAAGGACAAAAATACGTTCTATTCACAGAGTTTTCGTGTTCTTGAACATATTGTAAAAACCCAAAAACTCCTCTTTCATACTCTTGACCGATACGACATTCATTCAGCTTAAATTCATACTATTTTTAAAAAATAAATGAAGATAATACGCCAAAAATCACATTAAAAAAATATCTAACTTACAAGAAACATACAAAAATCAATTACACATACAAGAAACAATACAAAAAGTACAATATTAAGGGAAACTAAAAATCAAGTATCAAGTAATATATCAATACATTGCAATGTATATTAAAACCAAGAAACAAACCTTGATAGAAAGGAGTCGTTGGCACCAATGGAGAATGGTGACGTTGTTGTTGACTGTGGTGGACCTTCAATGGAACACGAAAATACAAAATGAATCCATGAAAACACAAACAAAATCATGACCTTCGCTTCCGGAAACACATACATTTATGTTAAATAAGTCAAAACTAACATTTGTTCTTCCTTGCAGTCGTGAACGAACTAGTTGGTTCACTTGGAAGTGGTGAAGTTTGAAACTAATGAAATATCCCAACCAATAGAAACACTTTCGCTATAGGTAAGTGACACAAAGCTAACCTTTGTTCTTCCTCACCCATGTCAATAAAGATGCTGGTTCAAGTAGAAGTGAAAGGCGAAAAAATAGTGTGCATGGGTTTATTTTTACAAAATATTTACAGGACATATGACGTCGAGAAACATAGAGTCTAACATCTTATGGGCATTTGACATCAGAATCAAGGTTATCAAACGTCTTATTTGAGTAAATTTTACACCTACACGCCAAACTTTTTAATGAATTCACCAAATGTACAAGACATATAACGTCAAAAAGAGAATTCTCAATGTCAATTGATGTCGGAATTTGGGGTTTCTGACATCTAATTCGTATTTTGACAGTCCAAAAGTCATTTCTATTCATGTTGTAATGATTCATGCAACTGTATAATGTCAAAAAAGAGAATTTTCAACTTCAATTGACAGCGGGAAACCCCACAATTCTAACGTCTAATTCGTATTTTAACAGCCTAAGGATCACTTCTATTTAGGTTGTAATGATTCATACAACTATTTAACGTCGAAAAATTAAATTTCCAACGTCAATTTGTGTCAGAATATGAGTTTTCCGACGTCATATGCCTATAAAATGTTGGAAAATTAACATTTTTAAGGTTTACTTGAACATTTATTTATAGCAATACTACCGGTCATTTTTTTTCTATTCTAACTTTGAACGGGAGACATGAAAGACTTATTTCATATTAGTGAATTCAATTCTAGCTTATCTTGAGGTGATGTAACTAGAGAACTCAAGATAAGTGAACTAAACCAAAGTTAACACGAGTCAACCTATGTCGAAATCAAGTTAAATCTATCTGGTTTATGTCTAATAGACTTAATAGTCAAATATATTAGATCGATCTTAATTTAAGTGACATGATAAATTCAATATAAATTTAATTCAACTTAAATTGAATTCAAAAGCTGTAGATCTAATTGATCTAGTTAAAATGGACCTAGACTAAAATTTGAATTTAAAGTGGATTTATTAAAATAGATGCAATCTATTTTATTGAATTTAATTTAGATCTAGACTAAATCTTGAAAAATCCAATATATTGTCTCTTTTATTTTTAATAATTTTTACTTAGTCTTTAAAATTTTAGATGACAGATACGTAGAAAAAATTAAAATCTTTAATTTGTAAATAAATTAATTTAAATTAAAAGTTTAATTTTAATTTGCAACAAGGACTTGTATCTCCCTTTCTTTTTTAGTACTTCAGCTTGGAGACGATGTCCTCTCATATTATAGCCCCGGGGTGTATGCTCAAGCCTACAAAATTTTGCTTTGTATAGTTAATAAGCTTTAACCATATTCATTTACCAATAAATACATTTTACAAGACTACAAATTTATCTATTATTTAGGTATCCATTGTTTTTTCTTGTAATAGTGAGTGTAAGCCTTGATTTAATATAAATAAAATATTTATTAAATTATGTAACTGTCAAAATAATAATGTGTGTAAAATGAATTCAATTATTTAAAAATATAAAATTTTGTAAAATATAAGTCTTATTATTTTAATATTAATATATTTTAGTAAATATATATGCTAGCTTTAAACTCTTGATACTTTTTTTAATCATTCTTTATGTATTTTATATTTAATTATTGTTAGTTTAATGTTGTAAATGTAAAAAATTAACAATCCGTAATAGCATACAATTTTAATATATATTGGAGGATCTTATTTTTGCCACGGTGGAATAGATGGATGAAACAAAAAGCATTTAAGTGATAATTAAGTTGAAGAATGTTCAAGTTAGCAGATGAAGAATATATCTTATTTATAAGATTGCCCTAATCATTTATTAAACATATGAAAGAAAGGAGATGACGGAAGGGAGAAATGAAATGGAAAGGAGAGTAGAGATTAGGGCACAAGTTTACTTTAACTTAGGGGCAGTGCTGATTGAACCTCCTGCTAGAGGAGGGGAACAATTCGAACGGTTATTTTTAACGATAAATTTTTTTTAATTTTTAACGTTAATTTTGAACATTTATTTACAATAATGCTATTGATTATTTTTAACGTGTTAATTTTTTTTACTTTGACTTTTGAACGTGAAACATAAAAGACTTATTTCACACTTTATGTCTAATAGATTTAATAGTCAAATATATTAGATGGATCTTACTATATTTAATTTAAGTGACATAATGAATTTAATATAAATTTAATTCAACGAATTAAAAAACTCTAGATCAAATTCATCCAGTTAAAATGGACCTAGACTAAAATTTGAATTTAAAGTGGATTTATTAAAATAGATGCAATTGAATTTAAATTAGATATAGACTAAATCTTGAAAAATCCATGGTCTCTTTTATTTTTAATAATTTTTATTTAATCTTTAAAATTTTAGATGACAGATACATAGAAAAAAATTAAAATCTTTAATTTGTAAATAAATTAATTTAAATTAAAAGTTTTAGTTTATTTTATTATTTCTTTTAGAAATCTTTATATTATATTGGAAAAATCTACTTCATTATCCTTTCTTTGACTTTTCCACTTGACTGAGTCACGGATAACACTATGCAGATCATGTTCACCACCTTATACACTTTTCTGCATTATAAAATAAAGATTTCACTAAATATCTGTTCGTGACATCGAATACACAATTGTTAGGCATCTCTGAAATTATCAGGTAAGTGAAAACCAAAATGGTGTCACAGACAGTTGAACTCCTAAAGAAGGAGATTCCTCTGGAGCAGGAGTCGGTAGTTTTAGCTGAAGATACAGTAAATGGTCTTGTTCTTGTGGACATCATAAATGGCTTCTGCACAGTTGGTGCTGGAAATCTGGTATCTGCTTTAGATTCCTTTCATATACCCTCATGTCTGTGTGTGACTGTGTGCGTGTATCTTTAATGTTTTCAATCTTTATAATCTAAATATTCTTGCTGCACCAAAGATTATAGATATATGGATGAAATTTTCAGGCTCCAAGAGAACCCAATAGACAGATTCGGGAAATGATCAATGAATCAGCAAGGCTAGCTAGAGTATTCTGTGAGAAGAAATTGCCAGTTATGGCTTTCTTGGATTCTCACCATCCTAACAAGCCAGAGGATCCTTATCCCACTCACTGTATTATTGGCTCTGATGAATCAAATCTGGTTCCTGGTGAGCAATTAGTTATTCAGATATTGACATATATTTTCATTTTCTGACACAATTCTCATTAATGGTGTTTATTACTACCAAAAAAGTTTCAAATGGATTTCCTTGGAGTTCAAAATAATGATATTACTAACCCAGTTCTGCAGAGTGGAAATACTTGTAAATTTTGGCGATAGATTGCTGAAAATCTTAGATCAATCATAGATAAAAAACCACTCTCTTTTGAATATCTGTTTTACTTTCAGTTGAAATTGATTGGAAGTTTTGATAGGTTTAAAAGTTCAACATTGTTTAATTGCTTAAGCGTTGAGACGAAGAATAGGTTACAAACATCATTCTTCCTCAACATACTTTCTCTCTGAGCTCATGGCATGTCTTGTTATTTTTGGTCTCAGAGTTAAGATGGCTGGAGAATGAAGCAAATGTAACAATAAGGCGAAAGGATTGTTTTGACGGATATGTGGGCTCAATAGAAGAAGATGGTACTAACGTTTTTGTAGATTGGGTGAAAAAGAATAAGATAACAACAGTGAGTGTTTGTTTGTTTATTTATTCTAATGTTGTACTGTTTAGGCATGAAGATGTGAAATCGTTTTCTTGAAACCATTAACTCATTTAGTTTCTATCTCGGTGAAGCTGGTGGTTGTAGGTGTGTGCACAGATATCTGTGTTCTAGATTTTGTATGTTCCACAATGTCGGCAAAAAATCGTGGTTTTCTGAATCCTTTAGAAAACGTGGTGGTGTATTCACGTGGCTGTGCTACCTTTGATATCCCTCTGGAAGTAGCCACAGATACCAAAAGAGCTTTGGCACATCCACAGGTACATACATATATTGCTGTTCATGAATATAGAATGTGTTTGCTCCAAAAGTGATTCACGATGTGCAAAAGTTAAGTTATATGTTTAATGCATTCTGGTGATGTCTGTCATTTGCAGGAGTTTATGCATCACGTAGGGCTCTATATGGCCAAAGAAAGGGGAGCCAAAATAGCAAGGGAAGTGTTAATTGGTGCACCTGAGAAGGTTTAATATATAAACGTGATTTGTAATATTTTTCAGGTTATGTTTGGAGTTTGGAACGTACTACTTATGAATAAGTTCTCTGTATAAGGTATCTAAAGATACATATACATATGGTAGGTCCGATAAGTTATAAGGGATTATGTACATAAGGTTTATTGCTAAATAAAAATTTTCGCTCGTGTTTGTGCCAGAGATTTCAACCACTTCAAACAAAAATTGAAAAATCTATGATATTTAAATTATTTATAATTAAATTCTTTACTCTTTTTAAAATATCTTGTTTGGAAAACAATTGAAATATTTTTCTTTATTTAGATTAAGTAACTAAATTTCTTCTTTAGAATAAATATTTTAAATTGGGATTTTATACTAAAATATAAAGTTTTATGATTAAATTTTACCAAAAAAGTATTAGTCAAATTTAAATATCAATAATATTTTATAATTTTACTTTTTAGTATTAGATAATATTTAATAATTTAAAAAAAATAACAGTATTAATACTTTTTAATATTGAATCATATTTACTAATTATTCACTTCAACAACATAAAATGATCTAGTTAGGAAAGTTGAAATCGCAAGAGATAATATAAAAGCTAAGTATCATTAATGAAATTTTTTTAATCCAAGTGAATGTGTAAATTATATATAGTCAAATGGTAGGAATTTTAATGGTAATTGATTTTTCAGTGAGAATTTAAAGTTATGATGTCAAACGATATGATTTTACTTATATAAAAAAGAAATATAAATGATATGTATAAATCATGGTTTTATCATTTAATGTGCTTTACGATCTCTCATCCTTCAAATAATAAGTCTTTTTAACATCCTCTTTTAATCCTATTTAGCATCCAATTTCACTTCCATTCCACATTTACCTTATTTTCAAGAGTGCAACAACATACCAAACAAGTGGAATGGTCTACAACTAAAACAAACGAGTAAATGTATTTACTGAAGTTTGACATCACTTTGGATCACTTTTGTTTTTCTATTCCTTCCACTTTTCAAAAATGTTTGCAGTTCTTCTTACAATGTCACAACGTAGGGTAGTCAAAGAAAGCTCATCAATCAATCGTTTATCCGTAAAGTGAGAGTATTTTATATGTTATATATACTTCAAAAATTAAGTTTTAAGATTTTTCTTTCTTGTTTTATTTTTCATTTTGCTCTCTCTCTCTCTCTCTCTCTTCATGTTTGCTCCTCTCACATTCCTTGTGTCCCTACCAGCTTGTGTTTGGATCTCTCCTACTCCAACACTAGCTTTGGGAGAGTGAGTTCCAAAATAAACTTGACACTCCCTGGCACAGTCGACGACCGCTAACATCAATGCCAAGTACATGGATCAAGACAGCAAAATCACCAAACAATGGTGGTTGTGATATTCTGTCTGAGGATCGAATATCCCTCGTCAGAATTACACGGTCATCATTGTTTTGGCCTTCCTCCTCCCTTCTATGTTTCTCCGTCTGGAATTTTAGGGTTAGGTTAGGTGTTTTGACAGAGAGGCAGAGATTGGGAAAAAGGGAGTCATTGAAAATAAAAAGTGAAAGAAAAACCTGGATCATTGATTTAGAGTAAACGAGATCTAACAGTTTTCGGAGTTTCTCACGATGAGGGAGATATAACTGACTACCTTCCCGTGCTAGCCTTCACCTATGTTCAGTTTTCCAAACAAGTAATTATGCGTCAATAAATTCAGTACAAGATATGAACTAACTGGGCATACTCTGCTAAGCTCATCCTCATGTGAGATGGAAAAGGAAGGTAACTACAGTTGTCCTCAAATTTCTGTATTCAAAATTTGGCTTCATATTTCGGAGCACCTTCAATTTGTTGACTAGATATAAGAGTTAATGAGGAAGATAATGCCAAAAACCTCATAATAGGATTCAAAGTAAGAAGAAAAAATTGTGATGAAAATCTCATCGTAACAGAAAGAACAATGATATTATGAATTTTATGATACATATATAACTTATAAGAAAAACTAGGAACAATGTACAAAGTTGATGGAATGAAGACTAGTACATTGTGCTTCGGTGCTGGTATTACTAATCCCTCTTCAGTCTATAGTTAGTCAAGCTACACCTACCAATGCTTAAGATACCAGTCATCTGAGTTCTAGACAAGCAGCCCATTGCTCAGTCTCTGCTACTCGGCAGAAAGCTAGTGGTTAAAATATTTAAAGCTGTACATCAGAGTCAGATAGAAAGCCAAACAACAAAATCAGCAATCAGAGAAAATTCATGTTCACGGAAAGAATCATGAAACACCTACACGTAGTTGAAGTGAAGACAATGGATACCTCAAATGGAACCCTGCAGTGATTGATGATATCTTCCATTGAAGCACAGTTTTAGCATTCCAAAAAACCTAGAACCTATAGAAATTAGACATATTAAATAAATTTCCAACATGATACGGTTAACAATTTAAATATTTAGAATCACCCATACACTTCATGACTATTTCACTAGAAACCAAAACCAAAATATACAGAATAAAAAACTTAAATATTTAGCAACCCAGCAATCGAAATTTGAAACCAAAAAGTCCATTTAATAGTTCTTTGCTGTCTTCTGACCAAACATAAAGCTTCATATTAAAAGCGAGTAAATAATTATTGATTGCTTTAATGTGTAATAGGGACTAGAGTACTACATAGTGTTCAAGGCCATCTGTGGATTGGTAGTAAAGGGTGGAATGTAAAGGCATGAAGTGGAAGGAGAAATTATTCCACCGTTGAGTTTGAATAGGAAAGGAACATAATGGAAGAAGATGGATCATAATCCATTTCATCCATGGCTTAACCCGAATTTTCTTCCCCAAAATTTTGGGATGCACTTGATGGAACAGAGCTTTTAGATCATAGAATAAGTATTTTATCTTTATTAATGATCAACCTTATAAGACAATCTTCTAATCCTAAGTAGTATTATCAGCTGATGCTACAATCTTTGAATTCGGTCGTTAATTTAGTCATCTCTTAATCCTTTCCATGTCTTCTTTCCAATAATTATTGACTTGAGAATCTGAAACCTTCGCCTATCCTTTAGACATCTCGCTATATCCCTAACAGAATATTCTGAACCAGCTGCCTTTTCAGTTGACCTTGTAACTGTTAATGAGGTAATAGGTGACTCACATTATGATCTAGTGCCTTCTGCTCTATATCTACCAAGTAGTGTATAATATCAATTGCTCCCAGAAAAAAAAAATTGTTGCATTCCTTTTCCTATTTTTAGTAGTTTGAGCTATAATCATTGACTCAAACCAAAACCACGTGTAGTCATATCATCCTTGGCCTTTGTGTTTGATCCTCGGAATAGGCACGGACTCATTTAGGATGAAAATATGGCAATTACTAATGAAACTCCTACTCTTCTATCTAGCAGCAGCAAGGCACTAGAAAAATGGTCTAACAGAGCAAATAGATACTGATATAGCTGTTGTTAGATCAAACTGCCAAATCAGAATAATAGGATATAGAGGTTTAGTTAATTTTTTAGATAACCGTACAGAAGTGTCACACAAGTTTCATTACTCACAAATAAAAGAAAAGCAACGCAGTGACAAATCTTCTCATGATTCCCATTTCATAGTATACGCCTTTGATTCTGGATTTACAATTATATTACATTACTTCAATTCGATGTAATAATTTAATAGAGATTTGCTGGCAGCTATTTATCACCTATATGTGTTGCCAACAAGTCAAAAGGTAGATTCTGCTCCATTTCCAAGTTCTAAAACTTAAAAAACATGATATAAAGATTTCTCTCAAAGGTTACATGACATATGCTTCAAATTAAGGTCTTTTGGAGTTTATTATATTTTGCTTTTGAATGAAAACAAAATGCACTCGACTATTGAATATAGTTTTAGTGAAAAGCAATATGGGAATAATCTCCCTTATGTTGAAAATACACATAGGATATTATATTTATATTAAAGGAATATAGGCTAAGTTCAAAATACAAATAAAAATAATAACAAAGTAATTAAAGATAAAAAAATAAATATAAGATATCTATTTAAGATATCTAATAATCTAATATATCTAACACTCTCCTTGCATACAAATCATAATACCAAGTTTGTTACAAATATAATCAATTCTCAGTCCCATAAAGACTTAGTAAAAATATCTATTATTTGATCACTCTAGTTAATAAACTCAATCTTGATGTCTCTCGATACAACCTTCTCTCGAATGAAATAAACTCAATCCCCTCTCATGAAAGACATGACTAGAACTAATATGAAGAACAACTTGATTGTTATATTTAAGTGTCATTTGAGTGACATCTTTAAATTGTAACTCTCTATGCAATTGCTTAAAACAACCAAGCTCACAAGGGGTTGAGGCCATAGCTCTATAATTTGCTTCTACATTAGATCTTGCCACAATACTTTGTTTCTTGCTTTTTCAAGAGATCAAATTACCACCAATGGAGACAAAATATTCAGATGTAGATCTTCTTCTAGATTAACCCATTCAGCATCTGAATAACAAACAACTCTTGTATGGTTATTTGAACCATATAACAACTCTTTTCCAAGAGATTCTCTAATGTACTTTAATATACGGATAACTATATTCCAATAATCTTCATATGGGGAATTAAGAAATTAGCTTACCACATTGACTCTCAAGCCAAAGTTTAATGTATGATGTCCAAGTCAAATAATTAGTGCTATCTAACTTATCAATAGACAAGTGAACATCGACATAGTTTGCTAAGATCTTTGATCTGAAAATGGTGGCAAAGATGTTTCATTTAGGAGATGTCATGGTTGTCACTGTTTATGATAACGATGTCATCAACATATACTATCAAGTAGACACATCCAACACTCGAGTGACGATAAAAGACTAAACGATCTGCCTCACACCAAGTCATACCAAATTGTTGAACAACATTGCTAAATTTTCCAAACCAGGCCCTAGGAACTAGTTTTAGACCGTATAAAGATTTGCAAACACAACATATCAACCCAAAAGACTCCCACTAAGCAACAAATCATGGAGGTTGCTCTATATAATTCTCTTCCTGCAAATCTCCATTGAAGAACACATTTTTGACATCTAGTTAATGAAGAGGCCAATGTTGAAGAGCAAGCATGGCTATATCAGAAGAAGAATGACCTTTAAAGTAAAAAGGAGACTCATTGAAAGTGACATCTACAAAAAAAAAATGATTAAGATAATGAGAAAAACACATTTGAGTGGTCGAGGAGATAACTTATCAAGACCAGGACTAAAATTATGAATAAAACATGTAGATCCAAAAACTTTTACAGGTAAGGGATGATGTTAGGGAACTAATTGTATCTAGTAGAAGAAGAAACATTACCCAGCCTAACTGCCTGGCAGTTAGGTAAGTCAGTATAAAAGGGGTGGGTTGGTTGGTGAGAGAGGGGAGTTTTTGGGAGTGTTATTGTTTGGCGGGAACTCTTGTAGTTCTTTGGAGGGAGGTTAAGCTCTCGGGTTACGTTGTATCACCATTCTTGTTGATTCTTTTCATTCTTTTCAATAAAAGGAGGCTGTATAATTCAGATAAATTGTCTTTGTGTGTATTCGAGTGTTTGTCCATAGGTTCTTGATCTCAAGAACCTATCATTTGGTCCGACCTGCCGGATCCGATAGGAGGAGAACCAGTGATGGGTAGCGAGACGGAGGGAAGACTGGATAACTTGGAGATCACAGTGGAGGGAATTAAAGAGGAGACCGCGGCAATCAGACGCGATTTGCAACAAATGATGAGGTTGATGAGTGGGGGTNAGAGCAGTTTTTCAACCTTGGGGACAAGGTTGTTGGGGAAGGGGAGTATTGTTAGGGAACTAATTGTATCTAGTAGAAGAAGAAACATTACCCAGCCTAACTGCCTGGCAGTTAGGTAAGTCAGTATAAAAGGGGTGGGTTGGTTGGTGAGAGAGGGGAGTTTTTGGGAGTGTTATTGTTTGGCGGGAACTCTTGTAGTTCTTTGGAGGGAGGTTAAGCTCTCGGGTTACGTTGTATCACCATTCTTGTTGATTCTTTTCATTCTTTTCAATAAAAGGAGGCTGTATAATTCAGATAAATTGTCTTTGTGTGTATTCGAGTGTTTGTCCATAGGTTCTTGATCTCAAGAACCTATCAGATGAAGAGATTCATTAGAAAATAAAATAAAATAAGGTATTTTATTATCCAAAACAACAGAGGGCGTGCGATTAATGAGATAAAATAAAGAATAGCATCACCCAACAATATTGAGGAACCTCACCATAAACTAAAAGTGTTTGTTTCAATAAGATTCCATGCTCATCCACCTCATTTTGTTGAGGTGTATAAGCACATGAAGTTTGACAGAGAATGTCATGAGAAGCAATAAATTATTTAAAAGAATGGAAAATGAGAAGCAATAAATTATTTAAAAGAATGGAAAATGAGAAGCAATAAATTATTTAAAAGAATGGAAAAATATTCGCAACACTTTGCAAAGTCCGAATAAAAACACCAAACTGAGTTTCAATTTCATTAAAAAAGATTGAAATATATAAATAATTGAGAATGATTTTTCAATAAAAACAATGAAGTACGTATGAAATAATCATCAATAAAAGTAACAAAATATTGAAAACTTAAATTAGACTTAACACAACTAGGTCTCCAAATGTCAGAGTGAACTAAGACAAAAAGGGACAAAGCACGTTATGAGACACTACGAGGAAAGGAATTACAATTATGTCACACACCAAACTGGATAACTTGGATAAGCTGGGAATACACTGCTATAATTTGGCAAGACTGGGATGACCTAACTAAGCATGAAGAAGATTATGAGACTCCACAATTGTGCCAACATGTGTGGAAGGACGGAGATGATAAAGACTATAAGACTCACATCTAATGCCAATCACTTGTCAAGAACTCCAGATATATAAACAAACAAAATGTTTGGTAAAAGAAATAACACAATCAAGAGAACAAGTTAAATGACTAATGGATAATAAATTAAAAGGAGACCCATAGACATAAAGAAAATTACCAATGGAAAAAGGTTAATAGTCCCAATACCATGAGCTAAAACCCTAGATCCATCACCCATTGTAACAAGGTAAATTATCCAGAGAGGATAAAGAGGAAAACAAAGATTTGTTACCATTAATGTGATTAGTGGCTCCTAAGTCAAGAACCCAAAGACCGAGAGAAGATAGTGTCAGACAAACCAAAGATGTACCTGTGTGTGCTACAAAAACATTGGAACTAGAAGGTTGTTGATCCTCATACCATTTCAGAAAGTTATTGATAACAATAGATTTGTTAGTGATATTAGATGAAGAAGGATCCACAACAGGTGACTATGAGGGAGGATCAGTCTAAACAACAACAACAGATCGAGGAGGACGTCCATGTAAGCATAACACCTATGGCCTGGCTTACCACAATGGTCACACTTATGACGTCCTTTTCCATGCTTGCGAAAGCAATTGAAGATCATCACGTTGAGACACTAATGTACAGGAATCATCAGCAAAAATGTATCATTGATAGGTTTACTTAGTACACGCAAAAGAATAATAACAAAGTAAAGATAAAACATAAAGATAAGATATCTAATAGCCTACAATACATAATCTTCAAATAGGATTGGGCCTTTTAGGTTCCCATTAAACCCAATTGTAGCAAATGTTATATATTACAAAAATTACAAAAATAATAAATAGGTTGGTCATGAGGCTAACACACCTTAAAAACATAAACGTTTATAGGGCTTGATAATAAATAAGGCTGACCAAATTGTTATATAAATACAAGCATTTTGTTCCACCTTTATATCTATCATATGCAGATTTCTAAACAAATTTTATGTTTCACATATTTATTCACTGGCCATGCTAACAATATGATTTCCTAGCTTGAAAGGGAAAAATAAAATAAAAAGAAAAAGAAAAAGAAAAAAAAAAAACTTATGCAGCAAACAAAATCCATCAGTTACTACTTCCATGACACATGGATCTTTGATGAGAACTTACCCTGAGAATCTGAAGAAAGAATTTACAAGTCTCTGACATTATGAACAAAACCCTATTGTTGAAGCCTGAGCCGATTGAAGAAGACCAAAAAATGGTACTCAGGGGCCCAGTACACAAATCCAACAACTGGGCCTGCTTTTAGGTGCTGGTAAAATCAACAAAAGGCATGTTGCAATCAGAAACATTTGCACAAAGGTAAGAAAGGATAATTTCAGATTACAACAGAAAAAGGATAAAATAATAAGACAAGATTGAAGAATACAAACCTTTCCATCGAGAATCACAAGTTCACCATCAACCCATCGGGGATTTTGAAACCCTGGCTCAGCCAGCCTCCCTTCGCCTTTGTAGCGAGCAATCTGAAAATTACAACAATATTGGAGTAGAATACAGAAAAATAATAATCTAATCTTTAGTGAATTAACACCAATTTACTAAAACTTTGGGGGAGGGGAGGACCAGAGAGTTAATATCTTCAAGAAAAGTTCCATACCACACCAAACTCTTCAGGTATTATCCCTTTATGAGGTAGTTGATACCTCTTTCCAATTTTTGCGCGGAATGCCACCTAAGGTCAAGGAACATAAATGATGAGATCTATATGATACAGACAGCACGATGAGAAGCTTAGTATCAAAAAGAGAATGCAAGTCTATTGCAGACAAAAGTACAAAACTATCTCAGCCAATATAGAGTTTCCCAAAGAAAAAGAAAAAATTATCCAGTAAATACTCATGATGAAGGTAAAAGAAACTATTGATCACAAAGCATATCTCAGCACCACCAACATCTCAGTTTTTGCTAGTATGATTAAAAACTGCATTTTCCGCAGATACAGAGGTTGCTAATTCAACACCTCCTCACAAAGTAGTAAAGCATGTAGATGAAAAAATAATCATTGTTTTAGTAAAGTTTAGAATATTACCTGGCCGGCTGGTACATAAGGATCTCCTGTTAGCTTTAAAGCTTCTACGTACTCATAAAACTCAAGATCTGAAGGTTCCTTGGCTCCATTGTCCTCTTGCCACTGTCCAAATCTACGTCTTAGATGAATAACTTCAGAGGAGTAAAGTCCATGTGATCCAATGTACAGACCTGATTAAAATGAAAATACATTACATGTTTTACACTGTGCTGCAGATTAAATACATCCTACATTCAGCACCTTGTGGTGACCAAATTGACAAATTCTATAGAAAATCACCATTTAAAGGATCAAAAGAAGTTGGTATTTTGATGCGATTGAAAATAGTTGACCCGGATAATTGGTGATGGTTTTGAGCCTGACTTAGTGTGAGATTTATCAATTCTCCCACCTCTTTCAGCACCTAAAAGATTGAAGCAAAACCATCATAGTCTAAGCGACTCATGGATAGATTCAACCAGATATTGAATTTTGAAAAGAAAAATAATTTACAATATATATATATATATATATATATATATATATATATTCAACTTCTTATACCTTTGAGGGTATCTTCCCCCTGCCAATAAATTTAGCAAAGTCAAAAATCACATGATCAACTTTGCGACGACCTTGAAACTTAGCTGATTTATCAGATGAAGATTTTCCTTTGTCAAGACCAATAGGCTGATTGACTTCTTTTTCAACAGTAAATGAAAATGAACTACACCCCTTCATATCCAGCTTAGCAGGAACTCGAAGCAAATCTCTAGTGGATAGATTACTTGAAAGTTTCTGCACAAGACCACCAATAGCAATTTTAACAGCAAATTCATTCTGTTCTTCACGCTCAAAAGTTCCCATACCAGCGTTTACTTCAATCTCATCATCTCCCTCCTGCTCAGTCTCAGATTTAATATCTTCAAGTTCTAGATTTTCTACATCTTTTTCTTTCTCTCTGTCTTCGTCTTCATCATCATCATCTTCTTCGTCTTCATCTTCATCACTTCCTTCATCTTCATCTTCATCTTCATCCTCAATTATCTGCTCAATCACATCAGATAGATCAGTGTCTACTTTCTCTGGAGTTATGACCTTGAAAACCTTCACCTTTACTCCAGGAATCATATCTTTCAAGACATTCTGAAATCCAGGCATTCCCTCCGCTGGATCATTGCCATCATTCCTATCATCACCATTTTCTGGTTCTTCAGTACTCACAACAAACAACTCACTTTTGTCTTCAGTAGATTCCGTTGAACTCAGTCTCCCAGTAGCATCCAATGTTTTAGAAGACGCTGTTGGGGGTCCATGGAAGGCCCCTCTCCGCTTTAAGTACACCGCCTGAAAATCAAAAGAATATCCTGTTGTAGTATTGCTATAGGACAAGTAATAGATAAAGACTATTTCGTATTAGTGTTAATACAATTACTAATAGAAAAATGACTATTACAATTGTTAGTCTACTTCACACTGGCTATTGTACAATTCCTGTATGTAAGCGTATAACTAATCTCCTTCATGTGCAGGTGGCACTCTTCATACTTTAATTGTACAAACAAATCATCTTTACCTCTTCATATTCAAATTCAGTGACAATGTCATTTAACAACCTTATTAATCAAATTAATAGTTGTCTCTCTCAGGATTGCAACCATCCTCATAAATAGTTTTCTAACTAAATACCAACCAAATCTTTAAACCTTCTTCTCTTGTAAAAAATTTTATCAATTAAAATTCATAAATCTTGTTTAATCAGTAATCCTTACATAATTTCAGACATCAATGATGACAAAAAATTACATGCCATGAACTGTACATGCTTGACATTGATTATGATCATATTATTACTAATTTCAAATGATAGAGAAAATTTATGGAATTTTTATTACAATTTTAAAAATAATTCACTATTTTTTTAAAAGTAAATTAATGTATGTTTAATCATTATAAAATAAAGAGAGAAAAGTCCAAGGTTAGTAGTAGCTAAGGAGAAAGATTTATATGGTTGATAATTACTAGTATGAAAGATAAACAATTACCTATTAAACTACCAGTTTTTTAATTACTAAAATGTAGGAATTTAACTGCTTTAAGTTGAGTAAAATTGTTTTGATTTTTTTCCAATAAAAAGTGCTAATCTACTTACAACACATGAAGGGGGTAGGTTAGCATATCCCTTAAGCGAATATGCACTTCAGGTCAGACAGACACCATAAATTTCCAAAACAATCATTTTAATTCATCAAATAAGGAGCAAAGCTACAAGGTGAAGAATAAGACTCAAATTAGTTTTGCCTCATTTTTAATCCAGAAGAATACAAGTTAAAATGGACAAAATACAACTTTGTATTTAGGGAAACTCAGCATGAAGCCATGAGCTCAAAATCATTGAATAGAGGCACCTTAGTGCAGAAACGTCACTAATCTGAGAATGTACGTCCATTAAAACCTAAGATAATGTGAAGCTCCAAACACAAGGAAGTAACACTGCTGAAGTTTGTTTGAATCTAACACCAGAAAGAAATTCAACCCAGAAGTGCTCCATTAATAAAAATACAACTCGGCACCACCCCATCAATAATCCAAATTGGTTGCTTTATCTGGATTATGAATTAGATGCAATATGCTTCATTCTTGAATATAATCCCACGTACTATTCCATCATCCAAGGATATTTTAAACTGAATAATTAGCAGAAAACTTGTTTGACAGTAAACGTAGAAGGTGGTCCTTAGCATACCCATATATTCAGATTTTACATAAGAGAACAGAATCCAGATAGAGCACAATGTTTTGTTTATGAAAACTCATAATTTAGATCAAATTTTAGAGAAGATTGCTTTCTGTTTATATAGTGAAGATCCCGCATGTACAATAGAAATTATGGGTCAGTCAAGAAGAGATACCTGTGACTTGAATTCACCTGTTTTATCCATTGTAAGAAAAATTTCAAATAGAGGAATGCCAGCTGCAGATGTTGCAAGTTGCCTAAAAAAATATAGTAAACGGGTTAACACCAGAAAGACAACAAGGCAGTGGCAGGCTCACCTAAAATATTTCATGTACAGATATTCCTCAAAGTTTATAAGAAAATCAAAACAAGGCAAGTAAATAATAAATTAATTCCATGAGAAAGATTTCAGCAAAGACAACAAATGCCATTGTAAATACTTGCACACGTAAATCTACACAAAGAATGAGTGTATACAATTTTATCAAATGATAATGTGAGCATATAGCAACCAGATTCATAGAATTCACCATTAAGATTTCCCATAATAATAATTATTTCAAATTTCAATATTATTCAGTGCCAAAGAAAGCACGGAGAATAAACTGTTAGCTCATCAAATTGGTTAAAAGCTATAGCTATTGATTCCTGTAGCAATTTAAAATTAATTCCAGCTAAATTTTTAAAAGAGAGTCAAAGACAAGGTTAGTAAAGATAGACAAATCAGACTCTAAATTAGCTCATTACAGAACAGAAACAATAAAAATGATGAGGGTTGAAGGCAAGGCAATGCAATACTCTCATAGTTACGTCATTCAACAAACTTCTCTAAGATTAGAATAACAATATCATTACTCCCTGACAAGCCAACCTTTTATTTTAGTTTATGAACACGTGAAATATACAAAATACATACATTAAGTTCAGTCTCATATACAACTATTCTGTAGTGATCAAGAACAAAATGTTTGTTGAATATAGTGGAAAACTATATTTGGATTAATCTCCCTTGTGTAAAATACACACATAGGGTTTTTTATTTATAATAGAAGAAATATGGGCTAAGCCCAAAATACAAATGAGAAATAATAACAAACTAACTAAAAGATAAAAGATATAATATATCTAACACTCCCCCTCAAGCTGGAGCATACAAATTGTATGAACTAAGCTTGGAATAGATGAACTCAATGTTGAACTAGATGATTTGTCTTCAAGAGTGTGAGACAAACATAGATGGACTAACAACAACTTGTGAAACTTCAACTTCAAAAGTGGATGAAGGAGAGTAGTGGTGGACAATGACAAGCTGCAAGGACTGATTCCCAATCAATGATGGATGAGTGACGGGATCAACAGTGGTAGCTGAAAGCTAAGAGCTACAAAACTGCAGGGACTACACTAAATCCTCATCAATGATGGATGGGTGACGCGATCAACAGTAGTAGCTGAAATCTACAAAACTGCAGGGACTACACCCATATTTATGTGACTTGCAGTGTCTTGGAAACGTACTCCCCCATAGTGTGAAGGTGGAAATGTGAAAGATCACAATTGCTGAACCACTAAAGCAAAACAAAATATTAAGCTACAATGTTGAAACAAAGGCATCAAAGATCCAAAGACATGTTGGAGGTCCAAAATTCTTTGCTGGACAACTCCCAAGTGGGTGATACTTAGCAGTGTATCACAAGAAGATCAGGCTAAACTCTAGCCCAAGAAGAACTGACACAGATGCGTCTGTTTGAGACGGTAGCGACTACAGCGGCGGTTGACTGCTATAAAACTGTAGGGACTAAATTGTCATCACTGACTGATGGGGCCTGTAGTGGTTGGAAGCGACAAATCTACAGGGACTGCCATCACTAACTAACGAGGTGATGGGGCCTACAGTGGTTGGAAGCATACAGCGGCAAACGGTCGGACAGCGACAAACGGTCGGACAGCGGCAAACGGTCGGACAGCGGCAAACGGCCGGACAGCGGCAAACGGCCGGACAGCGGCAAACGGCCGGACAGCGGCAAACGGCCGGACAGCG